TAACTTCCAAATGGTTAATTGCTAAATGGAACATCAGTTGGTTAAATCATATATTTCACTTCTATTTACAGGGAGGGGAATAACTCAAATATCATAACATTTTTACTCATAAGTTGTGATGATTAAAAATGGGTACTATTTGAACTAGACCAATCTGCCCAATCGAACTGTGATTAAAAAAAAATACTTTCCATGTACACTAGCCACTTGGGTATGGGCTACAAATTCAGACAACTTCCCTTTCTAAATATCTTCACATCACCACATCAAATAATCCAATAAGAACTTACTTCGAATCTGTTTTTTTATTTCTTTAGCAGGGTCCAACCAGTTCTGAAAAGGAAATGATATTCTGAATTTGAATCAGAGAAGAATGAAAGTGCCTTAACACTGATCAGGTGCAGACATGCTCTCAATATTGGGGTGCCAACCACTATTGGGGGGGAAGGCTTTCCCCATCGTGCCGATCCCACCACCTGGCCCCCTCGCAGGCCCTCTGAGGCCCAGGCCTGACCAGCTGAGAAAACACATGGATGTGCAGCTCGTGCTGACAAAATTCTTTTAGTGCTGACAAAATTCTTTTCTTTTTTAAAAAAAACCATTGCCTTCAGGGATTCAAGCTAGCATAGAAACAGAATAGAAAAACTGGCAGAAGATTCCGTTCAAACAAGTTACTGGGGTCCTCCCAGGGCTGGGGATCCTGCAGCTTCAAGGCCAGATGTGGCCCTCTAGTTCCCCAAGTGCGTCCCCTCAACCAACCCAAACTTCACAGAACAAATCCCTTTATTAAATCCTACAGGGATTTGTTCTGTGAAATCTGGATCCAGTCAAAAGTAGACTCAAGGATCAGGAAGGCCACATGTGGCCCTGAGGCTTGGGTTCCATTCAGTTCCACACCAGTGGTTTCTGTGATCACAGATCACATCTACTACCCCCTAAATTTCCCTAACAAAGGAACACTTGCTTGCGATTCACATTTTTTCATCAGAAAAAATCAGAAGTTTAATAATGAAGTTAGATGTTGTCTGGTGAATTGGCGGGGAAAAGTATGCCTCCTGGCACAACCCCCAAATAAGTAACGTCTATGTGCAAAGTATCCGGGACTCAGCTTCCAGAACCAATATGATGGAAATGATGGAAACAATTTCCTCCCCTGTGTTTCTCAGGTAGTTGTGGAGATTAGTGAGAAACAGTCCTGAACGGGCTGCTTTACTCAGGTGAACAGTCCCCAGAGGTATGTACTGCATTAAACATAAAATGTCTCTTGCGTGCTTTAGACAGGTACCAGGTCAGCAGAGGACGCATCTCATTTTTGGGTTCCACAAGGTTGTGAAAATGTTAAGATCAACTAAAAATGTCAGCAGCATCAGTAGTGAACTGCCCCAACAGTTCATTACAACCATAATATCTTCAGAGAATTTTAAGGTATGAACGTGATGTTCATTGGTTCAAACAATCTACTGAAATACATTATCCACAATACTAACAAAAAAGCACCATACAAAATGCTTCCTGAAATCTCAAATAACTCAAACATGAAAAACATTAACAGCTCACTTATTTTTCCTGGAGGATTACAGGAAGTTGCCGAGGATTTGCTTCATGAAGAAAAAGGTGATTAACAGCAGTTAGGGACTCAGGGAGGTGGAGCAAATGACCCACCTCTTCAGCTTTAGTTCATAATAATGAGGGGTTCAAGCCATTGCATTTTGTGTTGCTTTTCATCTCTCACCTTCTGGTTTTCAGCATCTCGGTATGTAAGCCCAAAGTAATCTTTTTCTAGCAAGTTCAAGTGTTCACACACTTTATCAAACAGTACTTGCCCTCTGGAGCGTTTCTATGGAAAACAGAACAGAAGAACAAGTCAATACTTAAAAAGGTTTTCCCCACTGTCATAAATAAAACTGGGTACAATTTAAAACACTGCTTTTTGTAACTGACAAGTGTGATTGCTCTGCCATGTCCGGTTTAACTAGCAAAAAAGCTCTGAAAGAAAAAATAGGACCTCGATCTATAAAAACACTCACCCCCACAAAATACTGACAGTGTCACTGACTCTGTTCAGGTGACAGGTGGATGATTTTTATTTACTTCGTTTTTGAGACTAGAGTCTTACTTTGTCACCCTAAATAGAGTGCCCTGATGTCAGAGCTCACAGTAACTTCAAACTCTTGGGCCTAAGTGATTCTCCTGCCTCAGCCTCCCAAGTAGCTGGGACTACAGGCACCCCCTACACTGCCTGGCTAGTCTATTTTTAATAGAAACTAGGTCTCACTCTTGTTCAGCTGGTGTTGAATTCCAGAGCTCAAGACATCTTCCTGCCTCAGCCTCCCAAAGTGCTAGGATTATAGGTCTCAGCCACCATGCCTGGCTGATGGATGATTTTCAAATAGAAGCAACTGGGGAAAATAATAAGATGCTTAGAAGTTTGGAGTATTTTGTGAAATATAAAAATTCTGATAGTGAAAGAGAGAATAAAGGACCAACAAATATCACATTTCACAGGACCCTAACTCAGTTCTCCAGAATATAAGATTCTGAGCCTCAGAAGGATTAAACCAATTCCTTGCCTTAGGCAGACTCTCACTTAAAACTTTCTATTCCAAAAATCCATTAAACTAACTGTATTTGTTTATTTTTGTTTTATCTTTTTGCCACAGATTTTGGTTTTATATTGCAGTGTTTAATTTTCTCTTAATTTCTTTTAGGGCCAATCCTTATT